ATTGATTATTATAAATTATGAACACTTCAAAATGCATTTTTTTGTTTTTAATTTAAGTTTTCATTAATTTTCATATTAAATTTACAATTGTCTTCTTCTTTTTTATAAAATATGCATTGTTTTGATAACAAACAGTGAAGTTTTCTGTTGTTTTGTATGGCAACACTGCGAAGTTTAATCTTGTACTCAAAAACATCAAAGGGGACTAACATAAGATTAAATTTATTTTTAGATTAACTAATCTGATTATTAATTGGCATTTGATTACCATCTCAAAAACCCGCTCTTAGTGTTACACTGTCGCTGATTAGGTACTTGGTAAATTCCACAGGTGCTATTATTTTTTATTTTTGTGTAAATTACAAACAGATATAATTTATTTTTAATTCAACCACTAATTACTTTTGGAAGACAAAAAACGAAATAATTTTAAATTCACACTAAACATAAACCGCAGCAGTTTGAAGTTAAAAGCATAAATTCAAAAGAATTTCAAACCTTTAAAGGAATCTTAAAAATTAAATGAAGCAAATCATGACAAGAAATACAAAACAAATCCTCTTACACTTAAAAGCGACACTTTAACAAAAAAAACATAACCAAGCCTTAAAAATGGATCTTTAAAACGATTTATGGGATTTAACAAATGCGTTACAGTAAAGCGTAAAATTAAACATACACTTTTTCAAGCACGTAAGCAATTATCACATGATTAAAAAAAATAAACTGGTTTGGCTAGAATGATTAAAAAATACTTATAAATAAACAACTTAGATGCATTATTTTTTTATCAGGTAAATGTTTAAATTAAAAGTGGGGAGTTTTCCCATATTTTCCATAAAAAGGGTTATTTATGGTTGAGTCTAAGTTTTAGTTAAATCTATGGCGTTTTAAGTTAATAATAATGTAATTTATATGCGTAAAGTGTCATCAACTTTTTAATAAAAAACACGTAAATTTACTTAGATAAAAATGTCCCTCCGCGTTATACGTTATTTGTAATATGGACAATGATCATGATGATGATCATTAACATACAACGCGGCGATGAAAATTGTAAAGAATTATTGATAAAACATCCGGTGGTTTTTAATTTTTATAACTAGTTTTAATTCTATTTCATTTTGTTTCTCTATTAAATTAATATGTATTTGTTGTAAATTTTATTTAAATAATTTTTTTGTTGTTATTGTCAACATTTTCTCTATAGGTAAACACAGCTGTATGTTATATTTTTATAAAAGCGTAAATTTGTATTATTTGTTTGATTTTAAAGTTTTGTTCTCAAAACGCGTTCAAGTGTTTCAGTTGTTTTGTTTGGAATAAAAAAAAATAAACTTGTTTTAGACGTCAATAGTCTCATTTTATCAAAATATATCTACATATATACAATAACAGTATTGTTAAATTATTAAAACAGGTGATTTTAATGGTTTTTGTTTTTGAGCCACAAAACGGTAGAGAAATAATGCAATTTTTAGGTCAATAAATGTTGCATAATACTAAATACGTAAATTAAATTATAGAGAAATTTATATAAAATGATTCATAAAATCGGTTGTATACAAGTCCTTAGGTTTGGTAGTTTAGAAACTATAGAATAAGTCTGAGCAAACTGTTTAACAAAGTTTTTATATACAGTATTGCTTGAAACCTAAGAAAATTTTCTTTAAAATTTTATAAATGTTTGGTGTTAATATTGCTCGTAAACCTTCTAAAGTAAATATATTCGGAGTGCTTATAGGGTTCAAACTATGTCAGTCCGTCTGCTAACACAATGGAAATTATGATGATTAAAAATTTCCATGATAATGATGACAATAGCAAACTTTTCGAAGCACGTTTGACCCCCTTTTTAAAGAACGATATCAATATAATTTTCTGGATAGGACCTTATATGGGGTGTAGGGTCAATTATGAATCGATCGTTATACAATATGGTAGAGAGATTTCGATTGATATAAAAATCGATCATATTATATTTCATTGCTATACTGACATTTGGGGACCTTAATATGAGAGATGGGGTCAGTTCTATTGCTATCCACATGAAATTAGTTGAGAAGATTTCTAGCACTTCTTTGGGTTTTAAAGTAATAAACTACTTGTTCGCTAGACTATACACTGAACTACAGATTAGTCTTTAGACTAGACTACAGACTAGACTATAGCCTAGACTATAGACTACACTATAGACTAGGCTATAGACTAGACTATAGCCTAGACCATAGACTAGACCATAGACTAGACCATAGACTAGACTATAGACTAGATTATAGACTAGACTATAGACTAGACTATAGACTAGACTATAGACTAGACTATAGACTAGACTATAGACTAGACTATAGACTAGACTATAGACTAGACTGTAGACTAGACTATAGACTAGACTATAGACTAGACTATAGACTAGACTATAGACTAGACTATAGACTAGACTATAGACTAGACTATAGACTAAACTATAGACTAAACTATAGACTAGACTATAGACTAGACTATAGACTAGACTATAGACTAGACTATAGACTAGACTATAGACTAGACTATAGACTAGACTATAGACTAGACTATAGACTAGACTATAGACTAGACTATAGACTAGACTATAGACTAGACTAGACTAGACTATAGACTAGACTATAGACTAGACTATAGACTAGACTATAGACTAGACTATAGACTAGACTATAGACTAGACTATAGACTAGACTATAGACTAGACTATAGACTAGACTATAGACTAGACTATAGACTAGACTATAGACTAGACTATAGACTAGACTATAGACTAGACTATAGACTAGACTATAGACTAGACTATAGACTAGACTATAGACTAAACTATAGACTAGACTATAGACTAGACTATAGACTAGACTATAGACTAGACTATAGACTAGACTATAGACTAGACTATAGACTAGACTATAGACTAGACTATAGACTAGACTATAGACTAGACTATAGACTAGACTATAGACTAGACTATAGACTAGACTATAGACTAGACTATAGACTAGACTATAGACTAGACTATAGACTAGACTATAGACTAGACTATAGACTAGACTATAGACTAGACTATAGACTAGACTATAGACTAGACTATAGACTAGACTATAGACTAGACTATAGACTAGACTATAGACTATAGACTAGACTATAGACTAGACTATAGACTAGACTATAGACTAGACTATAGACTAGACTATAGACTAGACTATAGACTAGACTATAGACTAGACTATAGACTAGACTATAGACTAGACTATAGACTAGACTATAGACTAGACTATAGACTAGACTATAGACTAGACTATAGACTAGACTATAGACTAGACTATAGACTAGACTATAGACTAGACTATAGACTAGACTATAGACTAGACTATAGACTAGACTATAGACTAGACTATAGACTAGACTATAGACTAGACTATAGACTAGACTATAGACTAGACTATAGACTAGACTATAGACTAGACTATAGACTAGACTATAGACTAGACTATAGACTAGACTATAGACTAGACTATAGACTAGACTAGACTAGACTAGACTATAGACTAGACTATAGACTAGACTATAGACTAGACTATAGACTAGACTATAGACTAGACTATAGACTATAGACTAGACTATAGACTAGACTATAGACTAGACTATAGACTAGACTATAGACTAGACTATAGACTAGACTATAGACTAGACTATAGACTAGACTATAGACTAGACTATAGACTAGACTATAGACTAGACTATAGACTAGACTATAGACTAGGATATTGACTGGACAATAGACTAGACTATAAACTTGACTATAGATTATGAACTACACCATTGACTAGACTATACACTAGGCTATAGATTAGACTAAAGACCAGACTAGACTATAGACTATTATGGACCTATGTCCGCCATTCTCTGGATACATGAACTTTTATGGCTGTTTAAGCAAGGCCACTTGTATGAGGGCTATATGAACACGTAAACAGATATTGCCCATTTGATATACCAAACAGTGCTTATCAATGAAGAAAATTTGTGCAAAATTGTATCTCTCTAGCCTCTCTCGTTTATGTCTTAATAATTAAATTACAAAAGGACCCATAATAATACATATGTATACTTTTATGTATGTATTTCGAAATTTCGACATGTTACCTCTTTTTTGCTGGTGTGTATAATAATAATTAAAAAATCGTGGTATCAAATTTGATTTTATAATCGATCCATATTTAGGTAGATTTTTTCACAAAAGGACAACTCCCCAAAAAACTTATACGCGTTAAAATTTTTATGGGTATCGAGAGAAAATTTAACAAAAAATAACTTTTATACGGACAGAAATCGTATCAAGTTTTTAAGAAGATCGCTACATAATTCCGAAAATATATTTGTGTAAATATTATTTTTCTTTTAATATAGTTTCAGACCAAATAAATTAAATATATTACAAACGCAATGCAAATATATATTTTTAATATATTCTTTAATTTATAAGTCAATACACATAACTCGAATTGACTGGACTCTACACAGCACGCTTTAAACAAAAAAACCAGAATAATATTTATTATAATTAATTTTAAAAAATTACCAGTTTAACAAAAGTAAACAAAATCGGAAAACAAAAATCGTTTTAATTTTGTTAGTACACCGCTAGTACCACTAAAATCGCATTATTTCGACACTTCTCTACACGTACTAATATTAATATGACAACTTAGAGGTCGTTAATTCATCAAAATTCTCAACGTAACAAGTAGATTTTGTTTTTTGTTATTGATTACAGCAGTTAAAATATTAAATTTTTAACACAACACACCAGCTCACACAATATTTTATTAAAAAAATATTTTTTAATAACAATAACTTATTTGTGAATTTTTTTATATTTTTTTAATTAACATTTTTTTTAAATATTTAATTATAAACTTCAATTGATTTGTTTTTGTTTTATTATAATTTTTTTATTTTTTGTGTTTAATCACCTTAAAATTGTAATGATAATTATTTTTCTTTATAATTTTTACGCGCTCGTTATATTCGTTTCTTTTTTTAACACTTTACGGTTACAAGTTTTATTCACAACTGTTTAAAGTTAAGACAAGTGGAGCTAGTTTTTAAATATACACTCGTTTAATTTCTCGCTCTCCCTCACTGTTGTTGTTTATTTTTCCCCAACTCACACAAGATCTCCCTTTTTCTCTAGCATAAACAGAGCACCACAAAAACAACTCTTTTTTTCATTCATTGATTAAAAATAAACGTTAAAAACCGTTAAACTACTTATGAACTTTTACTCTCTTTTCTTTAAACTCTTAATTGCTCATTACACTCTAATTACTCACCTGTTAAGAAAATGACTTAAATAAATTCAACAAATAATCGCTATTCTATTTATTTCTATATAAATTCAATTTTAATTAACAAGTTTTTTTGTTGTAATCTTTTTAAAAATCCTCGTGCATATAAACATTTTTTTTTTTTCAATTGTTAAAATTGTTTAAACATTTTGTTGTGCGGTGGTGGTGTATTGGGGAATTGTGTTAATTACATACTTTCGATTTCCTTATTCATTGCTGCTGTTGTTATTGTTTTTATTACTCTCTTTATAGGTTCTATTTGGAATTATTTAGTTTATGAAAGAAAAAAAAAGTAGGGAACAGACAGAACAAATAGATAATTTGATTGCTAGTTCATCGCTAGTTGTGTGGTCTTCGGTCCGGTCCTGTTTGTATTTATTTGTTTTAATTGTTATTGAAGTCTGTGCGGTTAAAAACAGTTTTGGTGTTGCTCATAGATTTGTTTTTATTTTGATTGAGTTACAGTGTCGTTCTACTGCAGGGGATTATGGGATTCTATTCAAAAATAAAAATTTATTGATAGAAGTAGACCGTTGCATTTGTTTTGAATTTGAAATATTTATTAAAAGTGCTGTGAAATGACAGTAATGTGTTAGTGTTGTCAAAGTTGTTTTTATTTTTCTTAAAGGTTGGCGGACATGCTAACACTAGTACAGACAAAAACCTAAAACCTTTTTAACGTGAATGATTGATATCCGGCGAATTGAAGCGAATAACTACTAAAATAATGATGTTTTTTAAAGGTACTTGATGTTTTTTTAAAGGTATTTTAGGGGCAATTACGTTAGACTTATTAGTTTTTATAACAACTCTTATCCATAGTTAACAGCTGGCCTTCTGACAGGAAGAAGTAAAGTATTACCTTCGGTTTACTGTTCCCCCGATTCTCCTCCCAGGATTTTGAAGCTCGATAGAACTTACAAAAGTTTTAATTGTCAAAAGAACTGTTATACAGCGTTCACTTTTTGACATAGAAAATGAGGTTTGATCGATATGTCATCGATATTTTATCGCTTATTGTTAATAATCAATGACGTTGATTGGGACGAAATGTGGTTTCAACAGGATGGTACTATGTAGCGCTATTAAAATCAAAATTTGGCTATAATGTAATTTTGTGAACTTTAGCTGTCAGTCAGGTCGTGCTATTTGACACTTCTCCATTAAACTGATAAACCACCAACAAGTGGACCCAAAAGATGATTATTTTTTTTAACGTAAAAGTAGATTACTGAGGTAGCCGGTCAGTGATCGACTCACTTGGGTCCTTAAATGGTCCCGTTGTAACGTAAAAATAACACAAATAACAAGTTTTTTTTTTTAGTCAAAATAATTATTAACAAGTTGGCCGTCAAGACAATAAGTAACCAAATATTTACCCTGATAGCGTCTTTCATCCTTTAATGTCCAGAAAAATGCTTGTTCGTTCTCATATAACCAACAAATCATCTCTGTGTATTCAAAATTTTATTGAAATTAGTCTAACCTCTTAGAAATTACAATTTTTCCTGTTGCCCCATAGGGGCTGCAAAATACGGCAAAAGAAATTACCTTCGGACAATAAGAACTAGTTAATTGAAATTAACATTAACATAATTAACAACATCTATATAAGACGACAGCCTAGGTTCGTGAAGACATTCTCTACAGTGCGATGAATTTGTTTAAAAGGTGGCTTAACAATTGTTTCTTGTAAATATTCGGCCACCATAGTGTTTGGAGACAACAAGAGCTCACGGAAAGGCACACCAGACAGACATCACACGCTATGGGTGAGCTCAATGATATAATAATAAGTATGTATCCTTATGATAACCCCTGGATACGGCAATCAACTTCCGTTCATTGCCTCTAGGCGATAATATACCATATCACTACCCCCCTAGGGGACTAGTTATTTCAACGTTGGTATGTCCTCCTAGGGAGGTATACAATTGCCAATCTCTTGTGGGCATTCTTCCAGGATGCCATCTTGATGTCTCCTCTTTCTTAAAAAGAAAGAGGTTCTTTAGGGACAAATAATTAATTATTTAACATCATTACTGAAATTTTTTTAATCTTCTAGATCTCACAAACAGGTCATATCAATAAATTTTTTTAGTAGAATACTAAAAATAACACCTAAATACTTTTTCAATAAACAATTATGTTATTTCCAATAATTTGCCTATATAGGCTAGGTTATTGGAATAAAGAAATTGAAATTAAAAAATTATATAAATTTGTTTAAACAAATTCCAAACTGAACACGTTTTACAAACTCGAAATGTATGTAAAATGACAGAAGGATCATCTGTCAAAATGGCGCGAAAACATGCAGCTCGCGCAGAAAATCACTGTATTTTTCCTTCAAACAGATTTTGTTTGATGTCCCATTATGTTTGACGACCTAGGAAATTCTGGTTCGTCAAACAGCAATGTATTTTTCGTATCTCGTGTTTGCTACAAACACTTTTTTGTTTGCTTCAAATAACCATGTAAATAAGCTAAACATGTTACCATCTAACTGTGAATAGCAGTACAACGAATAATAAGAAGCAGCATAAGTAGAACAATTTGACAATTGCATTTTTTATTCAATTTTTTTTTCTTCCCATCACCAATTTTTTTGTGTGTGCATTTTCTTATACGGGTGTTGGAAATATACGAAAAAATTGACAAAATTCTTTACAAATACTTTTAACTAATAAACTGCCAATATAATTGGCAAATAATTTAACAATTTTATGAAATTGTTAATAAATTGCTAAAGAAAACATAAAACAAATTGTGAAAAATTCAATTAGAACATTTTTGTGTATGGAAGAATAAAGTGGTAAAAGTGAATTGAGAAAAACGAATTTTTTGCGAATGGCGTAAATGAAAAACTATAGCAAAGAGTGGACAACAAAAAAGAAAGAACGAAAAAGTTAATATAAACATAATTTTATAATTTAAATTTGTTAAATTATAAAAAGAGAAATATTAATTGAAGAAAGAAGTTGTAAAAAGGGAAATAACATGGGCGAACATACAAATAGTGCCTCAACCAAAGCAAAAAATGCAGCAGCCTCATCAATGGCAGCTGCTGCCGGATCAACAGTAGCAGCAGCCGTAGCCGCTACAGGCCAACAACAAATGCAGCATCTACAACAGCAGCAGCAGCAGCAGCAACAACAACAGGCTAGTACAAGTGGGAGTGCTGGTTTAACTCCCTCAACAATAGCAACGGCCAAGGATGCGCGCGAATTGCAAGAAATACGCAATTTATTATGGGGACCAGCAATACGTTTGGATGTTTTTCGTCGTTGGTCTCAAGGTGGGTGGTGGACATTAATTTAAATGTATTATGGGTGGTTGTATGCACTTTCTTATTGTACATACACAAACACATGCTATATACATGCATGTAAATATGTTTGTATATAAATTTTATATTAAATCAAGTGTGTAGTTGATATGATGTGGTCACAAGCGTTTAACGCCTAAGTTGATTTAGGAAAGAAATTCTATTTGTATATGTCACCATATTTTATTAACTAAAATTAAAAATTCCCATTTTCTTTTTTTTCAAAAGATATCAATAGAAATCTTATTTATTTTAGAAGCTAAATATCTTGTAGCTTATTTTTCTTATTTAAAATTTATTTTTCTTAAAATTATGATTTTCGAAATGCGCTATTATTCTTTGTAGCCACAGATATAAGGTGATGATGAATGATGTTATGTTTTTATACCCTACACCACTTTAGTGGGGAGGGTATATTGGATTTGTGCTGATGTTTGTAACATACAAAAATATTCGTCCTAGACCCACCTTAAAGTATACCAATCGGCTTAGAATCGTTTTCTGAGTCGATTAAGCTATGTCCGTCCGTCTGGCTGGCTGGCTGTCCATGTAAACCTTGTGCGCAAGGTACAGATCGCAATTTATTTGACCCAAGGACGAAGCCTATTGAAAATGGTTAAAATCGGTCCATTATTTCACCTAGCCCCCATAGAACAGAACCCCCCGAAAAGGGCTTCTGAGCTCATAATTATGTTAAATATACAGATATATCGATAAAATACGGCACAACTAAGTTTTATAGAAGTCTTTATGACCTTGCCAAATTTCATAAAGATCAGGCCCCATTTGACCCTAGCTCCCATACAAAGTCCCCTTCAGAAAATTACTTGAATGTCCCAAATTAGCTTATAAACACAAATATCGCGATGAAATTCAGCACAATAAAACATTATGTAAATATAAATATATTCACAAAATTTTATCGGGCTTGGTCTATTTGCCCCTAGCCCCCATATAAAGCCTCTTTCAGAAAATTAGTTTTTCATCCATAAATTGCTTAAATGTATCGGAACAAGGGAATATTGAAGATAAATGGTTTATTATGAAAAATAAATTACATTTAATATTCATAACTGGTGTAGGGTATCATATGGTCGGCCACGCCCGACTATACTTTCTTACTTGTTTTCAGTTGTCTTTCTTTTCTTTTTTTTTAAGTTTTGTCCACCTTCTATGATTACTCTCTTGACACCTGCCGTTATTTAATACTCCTCAATATGTTTATTGTTGCTTCGATGGTTGCTGTTCTTCGATGATCACGTTTGTCTTCCACCCCTCCTTTTATTTTACATTTCTTCTTTTTGTTTATAGTGTGTGAGTGTGTCTTTGTATTTCTTACTTTAGATTTATTTTTATTAAACATTTTTTAAATTTTTTGGAAGATTAGTCATATTTAACAGATGCATTTTCTTCTGTCATTTAACTTAATATATATTTTTGTATCGAATAGGGTGTATAGAAGTCATATGTTAATTTTGAAATATGTACGCCTAGCTTTTCCGTAATACTTATGAGGGGAGTTTGAGAAGTCCTTTCGTCCGACTTTCCATACTTGTAATTAAACTGTTGATTGCAGTTTAAAAATATAACATCAGGGACACTGGAAGGGAATCGCGGAGACTTAGGTATATTCCTTCGGATTTGATGTACATAATGCCTTAAAGTGCTAAAAATATCAGATTTTTCATAAAAATAATGAAACTGAAATACTTATACTAAAACTTTTAGATATGCCCTTAGCTCCCACATATAATCTACTTATTGGCGTTAATTAGTCGGTGTTAATAGACAATGCTTTTTTCTTTATATGCATTTTTGTATTTGTTATTTCTTTTTATTTAATTGATCAAGCATGTTAATTTACTCGATTAAACATATTGTGTGCAATTGAATAGATTTCCTCCAAGAATTTCAAGGAATGTGTAACATATTTAATACATTTTAACAGAATCTAAAAAAAAAATTCAACGAAAATTTCAATGCATTTCGAAAAAGAAAATATAATTATTTTTTTCATTTATTAATCTTCTTCATATTAATAATATTGCTGTTTTCCTATTTGCCAAAGGTTTTGAATTTAGTGCTGAAGAACCTTCCGCTTTGGTACAAAAACAAGGTGGACCCTGTGCTGTGATTGCGCCTGTTCAAGCGTACATTTTAAAGATTTTAATTATGGATACACCTGGTCATTGTTTCAAAGATGTAAATAAACTTAAAAACAAATTCTAATTAAAAAACAATTTAGCTAAACTTTATAATTTAACAATTCTAGTTAACACCCGACAAGTGTAAAAGTTTACTTATACAAGCTCTCTGCACCATTCTGAGTAAATGTAAAGCGTTACGTCTACGCATAGTCACACTACCTGTCGAACAATGTTCGGAAGCCAAAGAAACGTCAACAACAGCAGCAACAGAGGCGGCAGTAGCAGCTAGTAATGCCGCCAATGATGATGCAAATTTGAATACTGATGCTGGCTTCATGGATGATGAAACAACAGAAGATGAGGCTGCTACAGCTGCTGCGGCTGCTCTTACTGCTGGTACAGTACCTTGTAATGCAGCCGAAGAGGTATCGCCCGAAGAATATCATAAACGTTTGCATGTTGTGCATTTCAATACAATAGAAGAGGTGGAAAAATATTATACGCTTAACTTTGAAGTGTTATCGGCCAAATACGGTGTGCTGTTATTCATGTATACGGTATTGCTGACCAAGGGTATAGAAAATGTCAATTCGGAGCTGTTGGATACCTCAGAACCGCTAATACATAATACCTATGGTTATGGCTCGCAGGCTTTAATTAATCTAATGTTAACCGGACGTGCCGTGGCGCATGTCTGGGATAATGATCAGGATGTGGGCGGTCTAAAGTTGAGGGGTATTAATGAACAAAGTGATATTGGTTTCATAACATTGATGGAACAAATGCGTTATTGTACGGTGGGTTCGTTTTTTAAGAATCCGAGAAATCCGGTTTGGGTTATGGGTTCGGAGACTCATTTAACTGGTAGGTTGTTGAGAACATCCTTAATGTGGTTGAACATTATAATAAATAAATCTTTCTTTTATTATTTGCAGTGTTATTTAGCAATGAAAAGCGTCTTGTATCACCCGAAACACCTTCGGAAATAGCCCGCCGAGTTTTTAAATCTTATGATCCGGATGGTAATAATTTTATACCAACTCCAGTGCTACAGGATGTTTTAGCCGCTTTGGATTTAGTTAGCGAAGCGGAATAGTAAGTTTTATTTGAATTAAATTTTGTTATTTGAGAAAAAACTCCGATTTTCTCTACAATGCCCTCGATTCACTAAAAATATAAAAGCTGTTTCTTCGCTGAAAATCCGACTTTGAGATGAAAATTTGATTTTTAAATAAAATTTCGTTTAAAAGATCAAATTGTTTACTAAGAATCCGATATTGAACTTAAAATATTTAGTTTTCAGTGAGAAATATTTTTTTAATAAAATTTCAAATTTTCACTAAAATTTCCGACTATCCGTTAAAAATTGGATTTTTCTCTTAAAATTCGATTTAAAATTTTCACAATTTTAATAAAACTTCAAATTTGCATTAAAATTTCAAATTTTCACTAAAATTATCGATTCATCACAAAATTTTACTAAATTATAAAATTTTCACTAAAATTTAAAATTTTTAACTAAAATTTAAAAATTTAACTTAAATATCAATTTATCAATAAAATTTAAAATTTTCACTAAAATTTCAAAATTTCACATAAATTTAAAAATTTAAAACTTTCACTTAAATTTCGAAATTTCATATTTCATTTAAATTTAAATTTTTCACTAAAATTTTAATTTTTTACTTAAATTTCAAAACATAACTAAAATTTAAAATTTTCACTTAAATTTCAATTATTCGTTAGAAATCACTAAATTTTAAATTTTCACTAAATTTTAATATTTTCACTAAAATTTAAAAATTTCACTAAAATTTAAAAATTTCACTAAAATTTAAAAATTTCACTAAAATTTAAAAATTTCACTAAAATTTAAAAATTTCACTAAAATTTAAAAATTTCACTAAAAATTTAAAATTTCACTAAAATTTAAAAATTTCACTTAAATTTAAAACTTTCACTAAAAATTTAAAATTTTCCCTATAATTTAAAACTTTCACTAAAATTTAAAACTTTCACTAAAATTTAAAATTTTTCTAAAATTTAAAATTTTTACTAAAATTTAAAAGTTTTACTAAAATTTAAAATTTTTACTAAAATTTAAAATTTTTACTAAAATTTAAAATTTTTACTTAAATTTAAAATTTTCACTAAAATTTAAAATTTTCACTAAAATTAAAAATATAGTAAATTTTAAAATTTTAACCAAAATTTAAAAATTTCACTAAAATTTAAAATTTTTACTAAAATTTAAATTTTCACTAAAATTAAAGCATTTCATTTTAATTTGGCATTAAAATTCATTTTTTCAATAAGATTTAAAATTTTCGCTAAAATTACAATTTAAAATTTTTACAAATCAAAATTCACTATTTTTCTAACTTATTTCTTATATTTTTCCTTTTTAGTGTCAATATTATGCAAAGACGTTTAGATCCCGAGGGTTTAGGCATAATATTATTAAACGCATTTATGGATGAATTTTTCCCACTGGAAAAACGTTCAACACCCGACACCTTCGATTTAATGCATTATAATGGTATACCTGGATCTAATGAGGGCAATAAGGTAAAATTTATTTTTAAATATAAATAAAAATAATTTTTGACACGTGTTTTTTAAATATCCTTGCAGGTCCAGTATTGCAAAGGTTCTGCCATATTATTAGAAAGTGATTTAAAATCGATTTGTGTTTCAAATCCCATGATGACATGTTTACAAACAAAATGGCCAAATATTGAAATAAATTGGCATGATATGCGAATACCTTCATTGAATTGACCACATTTACAGTATACTTTAATTTAAATAAAAGCAAAGAAAATAATAATAATAAAAAAACAAATAACATAAAATGAACAAACAAAAAAATGAGCTAAAAACATAATAATCTTAAAGAAAAATTAACATTTAACACAATTTAATTGAGGCCTAACTAAATATTAATTTGTAGAAAAACAAAAACATAATTAAAAATCCTAATTTACAAAATAGTAGTCACACAAAGTTTAAAACAAATTCAGAAAACATATTGAAAAAGATATTTTGAATATATGTGTTTAAAAAGCAAATATTTCTTTATAAAATGTACTCTACTCGGTTTAGTTTCAAAACTAATAGTACATTTTTTTTTAATTTATAGCTTTATAAATATTTTACAGCTGTAATGCAAAGTTTTTTTTCTATAGTTTAACAGCAACATTTCTTATCACTAACACTGAAATTAAAATTTAAAAGAAAATCAAGTCAAAAAATATTATTCGGTGGCATTGAATAGTATTTATAACCTCCAAGAGAAATGTTTTATAAAAATTTAATTGAAATTTCAGTATATCTATCGTATTTCAGTTATTTCATACTGAAATTAATTCTTAATTATATTTCAAAGGTTTGACAATAATTGACAAAGTCTATAAGAATTTCCAATTGGTTTACTATATAAAAATTACATTGAATGCAAAAAACTTTTCTCAATTTTCCAAATATTTTTTTCTTATAGTTGATCCTGGGAGTGAATAAATTAGGGGGTTATAAAATTAAATACATCTATATTTCTATGATAAACATACATATATTAAAGTTAAAAACAAAATAAATTAATTAGCAATAATTAAAAAAATAAAAAATAGTAGCCACTTAAATCTAAATAAAAAAATAAATAGCAATATAACAAACTACAAAAACAAAATAAATATGTATTCTTAGAAAAAAAAAACAAACTACACTTCCAAAATTTACAACTAAGTAAAAACAATTTTAGCAGTAGTTTTAAAACTTGATCTGAAAAAAATTCACTAAAAACAGATAAAAACCGCCATTGATTAATAGTAATTTATGTTGTTAATTATTAACAAAGTTAAAAAACAATAAGAATTGAAAAACAAATACATACTTTACTTTTTTCCTTACAAAGTTAAAACAAATTTTCTTTAATAATATTTGTTTGTAAAAGGTATCCTTCAAGCCATGTTAAAAAAGCTAATAAAAATCATTAATAATAATGTTCAGATTACTTTAGCACTTAAATATGAGAAACTAATAAAAAAGGTAAAAAAAACAAATAAATTTAAGAACAAAAAATTTAAAAACAAAAAGCTCTAAAGAGTTTTTATTTTGGGTTAATATTTCAAATACGTTTATAGCTGGTCTGTTTTCTTGCCACAGATTTAACTATTTATTTCAATTCACTTCTTCTGGTTTTCCCATGTTGTAACACCAATAATACCTTTTTTCTTTTTATTTCATTTTACCCCAAATTAATGTGTAATTTGTTAAACTGTTCTTTATCAATTTCCACAAAACAAAAACTTTTAAAATAAACACAAACTTGTTTGAATTTAAATAAGAATTACCGCTCCTGGGTAATATTTTATATGTTTTGTTCGCTCTATCTATTTCATATTCAATTTCATAATCCATTTTCATATACATTCCATAATTATATATAATATATAGGTATGAACTATTAAATATAACCACTAATAACTAAACTAAATTACAAAAAAAACGAAATCGCATGCTTTACAATACTCCTTACACTGATTAGCTAATTTATTTATTTAACTTGTAATGTTCTTTGAAAAGCAGCTAAAGCCATGGCCTTAAGTTTGTCACTTGTTTGTGGTATATTACGTGATATTTCACATTCTCGAGCTGGTAGACCACACAATTGTCTACGTAATTTTAAATCTTGGCGGGCACTTAATGCCCTACTATTAATACCGCAAGCATTTGTAATCAGTTGTCGTCTCTCTATTTCAGCTTTGCGCTGTGAAACTTGCATGCAAGCTAAGGGTGGTAAAGAGTCCACATTAAATGTTTCTGTGGCAGCTATATCTTCTGCTAAATGTTTAACATCTGTCTTATCATCAATTTCTTCTTTGGGTTTGATGTCGGAAGTACTGTCCTCGTTTTCAAGAGCTGTGGCTTGAGAATCATCATCTAAAGTGGATAGCGAAGATACTTCATCTTTAATTTCTGTTTTAATGTCAACTTTTGTATCGGTTTTAACCGCTTCAGCCTTCAATTCTTCATCTAATTGTTGTTTGGCTTCGTTCAGTAAACGCTTGGCATATTCCTCACCAGCCATACGCATAGAAATGCCTACGTCTAAAATAATACGATGAGGTTGCCATTTCTGCTTAGCTGTGGTAGCTTGATTTGAGGGCATACGTTTAGTTTCAGCCACCAGAGAAGACCAGTCCACGCCTAAAGCATCTCCCACTCCTAAACGAATAAAATTTGTTCATATTTATTAGAAAAAATATAGAAATATAAAATATTATGTTATGCACTTACCCTTGGCAGCTCTTTCTTCTTCTAATTCACCATCTGAAATTTCTTCAAAGTCCATAATTTCTTCCTCCTCTCCCTTATCTTCTCCGTTGTCTTTGCTTTCGGGCTTGGTTTGTGAATTTGAGTCATCATTTTCCAATTTTGTCTTCTTTTCGGTCTTATTAAGTATGTCATCGTCACTATCACTGATTTCACTAAGTTCGCCACTGTTCTTTTTCTCTTTTTGCTCAGCAGTCGCATCTCCTGCAGCTGCTGTTTGAGAGGTTTCCTCCTTTTGGTCATTATCTCCCACAATTTCACCAGCTTCTGGTTTATCATCATTCGCTTGTGGTCGATTGCTACTGACCTGTCCTAAAATACTGGGATTGGTGGTAGCATTTGCTGCACTTTGAGCTGCAGCTTTGGCGGCGGCAACAGCTGTTGTGGCGGCCGCTACGGCACTTGCTTGAGCAGCTGCCTTAGCTGCAGCTAAAGCGGCTTGTTGTTTTTTTAATATATTGGGATTAGTATAGGTCATGTTCCTTTTATTGGGAAAACGTGTCATAGGCCCGGCACCATGAAAACCACCTGGTGGTGGTACGGGTAGATTCATTAGAGCAGGAGGATGGTGAGGTCTAAAGCCGTGACCTCCTGGTATGCGTTCACCGTGATCAATATGGCCTCCACGACCGCGATAACCACCACGACCACCTCTATCACTACGTGGATGATGCATCATGGGACCGGGTGGACCACGTTGGTAACCAGTACTTGGCCCCGGTCCTTCGTCACCTTCACGCCATTCATTAGGATTCCAAGGACGACCTATAGGTCCTGGTTTTTCACGATTAAGCGGCATCTCTCTTTGATCATGCTCTATCCAATCGCGTTTTGGGGTGCCTTCGGATTTCTTGGGTGTATCAATTTGACCCTCCTCCGCATCCCAATCGGGTTCCGAAGGTGGACGCTGCTCCCTTTGTTGTATTAATGGGGGAATTTTACCAACTATTCCCACACCGCCACCACGTTTGGGGCCACCCACAAAACCTATGCCACGTACTGGAGGTGGTGGACCACCATCATCACCCTGCCATTCACCGCGTTCCCGGGGTGAGCCCCAATCATTGCGTTTCCAATCTGGGCCGGGTCTACCCACAAAAGGTGGTCTTTCACGACCCTCACGTGGTGGCAAACGTTCGCGTTCATCGGGATACATTCTTTCCGCCTCAATATCACGATAATCTCTAGGATGTTCGTGCAATTCTCGTTCTCTTAACTCACGTTCAGCCAACCAAGCCTCACGATTCATGGGATGTCCGCGAGGAGCACCTTCGTCTAAATAGGGTCTCTTATAAGGACGCTCGCGTTCATCTTCTGGGTATAAATCACGGGGGTCAGGGCGCATACGACTGGTACTGGGACCTGCATATTCACCAGGACTCAACTCACGACGTCTAGCCAAATATTCACGTTCCCTTAGCAACTCTTCGCGGTCTAAATGACCACGGCGTTCAGGCTCTAAAAGAAAAAAATTAATGAAAACCTTGAATATGTATTATATATAAACATTTAACATACCATCCTCGAACTCAGGTTCCCCCCTATGCTTTCTAATGTAGCCATGATCATAAGGGTCCATTTCACGTTTAACACGTTCAATAGAACGTTCTCGTGATTCATAACCACGTACTGGTGGTATATCGCGTTCCGGTCCCCGCGGTAAGAGACGTTCGGCACCTAAAGGTTTTCCATACTTTTCTTCCTCCTCTCTACGCAGCTTTTCGCGAGCTAAACGCTCACGTTCCCTTTGACGTTCCTGGCAACGGGCCAAGGCATCGGCACGTTCTTTATCACGTGCTGCCTCCCTCTCACGGCGTTCACGTTCTCTGGCCATATCCTCATGACGCAATTTATGCTCATGACGTTGCCTTTCCCTCTCAGCAGAAGGAGTACGGTCACGTGTTCTAGTTTGTATGATAATCTTCTCTCTGGACATCAATTGGTGATGCATACGGGGTGGAGACTTTTGTCTCTTAACATCTTGGTGTATGCGTATTTTTGTTATTTTTGTAGGCGACCGACTGCCCACACGATGGTGCTCCCTTTCACGTTCTCTTAGAGCAGCACGATGCTTTTCTTTTTCCCTTTCCCGGCGTTCCTTACTAGCTGCACGTAAATGCTTACGTTCGGCCAATTTTTTTAGCTTGGCTTGTGTGGCCGGGGACAGAGCACGATGTGAATGACCACTTAAGGCGGCCGCAGCAGCAGCGGCTTTTTTCTTCAATTTAGCCTCTTTCAACTTACGTTTCAAATGATTACGTTTCGCCTCCAATTTCTTCTGACAATGATCACGTTTATCCCGTTTGTGCCGCTCATCACTGGAACTAGTGGATCTCCGTAGAGCACCCGACTGTCTAGATTTTTTATGCCGATGCCTACGTTCGCTGTCAGAACTGCTGTAGGAACTCGAAGATCCTGAATCAGAATCTGAACTACTGCTGCTTTCACTACTCGACTGAGCCTGACGTGATTTTTTGTAGCGTCTCAACGCCTCCTTGGACTTTTTATCCATTGCAAATGCGTTACAGAATTTCTGAAGTAATTTTAAATGAACTTATGGGAAATTAATTAAAATTTTCTGTAAATGTTTCAATTTTTTCCCACTAACTTTTCACGAAAAATGGCGACGCACAAATAAAAATAATTTCTGTGAGCTGTCAATAATTTCTGTGAACGCCGTCAAAAATTAACGATGGTGGCGGCGGCTTAAAATTGACTGACTTTAAGCCGGGTAAAAGTTATTTTCTAAAGTGAATATTTAGAACTAACAAAAACAGGATATATTTTAAAATTAAAAAATCTTCATAATATTCTTTTACTCGAAATAAAAATATTTTTATTTGTGCACCATAACGATATTAGAAAATGCTGTAAATTTTATGTTATTATTCACATATATGAATAGTTTAATACATTTGATAGTATGTATACATATATATTTTTAAATTAATTTGATGTAATTATTCGAATATTCACAATTACTATAGTGCAGTTTTCCTTTTTCTAGCGTTTTTTATATCTGGCGGGATTTTTCCACAGTAGAGTTGACAACATATGCCTATGTCAGCATGAAAGAAAAAGACGAAGGAAAAATGAAAAGAAACCAGTTGAATGTTGTAAAAGTGAGACATAAAACGCAAATTGTAAAAACTTTATTACAAAATTATGAAATTTTTGTTAATAAAAACAAAACAAATTGACAAATTTTACTATAAACATATTATATAATGTACGTACTTGAAAAAACGAATAAAATTTAAAAGATATAAACAAAAATATTATAAACAAATTGAAAACAAAACAAAGTAATTGTTTTTGTCACTAACAAGAAAAACTAACACAAGCAAATTTAAAAAAGAAAGAAGAATAATGAAAAAGGCAAACAAGTAAAGGAAGACGAGTGAAAAAATTAACTTAAAATATAGTGATTTGATAATAACTTCTATAACATATAGAAGAAAATCAATTAATAAAAAAAAAAATAATATTAAAGTAAACAATTGATTGATTGTACAATATATTGTATGTATGAATGTGTATATGTATGAAGAAAAAACAGAAGTAAAGCAAAATAAAATAATAAAAGACGTGTGAGCGCTACTGACAGTGACGTATGTAGTAAAATCGTGCAGTGTATGTTTGTTTTTGTACAATAAATTATTATATATATGTACACATGTAGGTATAGATGTGTGTCTATATATCTCTTTCAATTAGAGAAAATAAATACAAAATAAATATTAATAAAAAAGTACATAACAAGGAAGTTAAAAAGGAATAATAAATAAGAAGAAGCAGAAGAAGATTTGGTGCTGCTGCTGCTTTTTTTGTGCAAATTCTCATTTTCAATTTACTTTTATTTTATTTGTTCTTTATATGGAAATCAAGTGAGTGATAGATAGATATGTGTATACTACGGTGAAAAGCAAAATAAAAGAAAAATAAATTCTTAAACGAGATTTTTCCTTAAGCTTTTTTATTTTGGCTAAAAATAGCAACAGTTTTTCTTTCAACAATTTTTGTTCTGCCATTTTTTTGGGCAAGTAAAAGTAACCAGGAAACAAAATACATACTTTTTTCACTACAATAAGTAATATATTAATTAAAATAAACGAATTGCAACAAATATTTAAGTTTTAAAATATTTCAAATACCTATTTTTTCTAAAAAAAACGTGTTTTAATAAAGTGAAATCTTTCAAAAAAAAAATATTATCAATAACTTACAAAGTGTGCGTGTGAGTGTGTGTACAATATGCTACTGAAATTTACTAAAACAAGTGGAACTGGAGCTGGTTCCAGTTCTTCCACATCATCATCTAGCATGGCTGGGACTTACATTGCTCGAGGAACAGGTTTGTTTGTTTTTAATTTTTTTTTTTATATAAATTTTTAATCCATTGACCAATTTTGTTTTTTGGTTGTTTATATTTGTTTTTACATTTAGCTTAATTTAAAATTTATTGTTATTTTGTTTTTGGTTTGTTTAGCAGTAAAAACAAAATATGTATTGATATTTGTATGCTTAAAATTTTATAGAATTATTTTTAAAAGTGTTTTTCTTTTTGAAAGAAAAACAATAATTTATTGCTTTTTGTTTTTGGCTTTTCATTTCTTTTGCATTTGATTTAAGAGTTGCCAGAGTTTTTCAGTTGAGAATTACCAAAATATGAGCCAAAATTAGGAATTACGTAGGTATAGTTGAAACAAAAAGACGACTTTTTGAATTCTTTCAATTTACGAAAAGTAAATTTTTTGACTTTTTATAATTTTGAAATTTTCGAAATTTTAAACTTTATTTGGCAAACAACATCAGTTTTTATTTATATTTTTTCCAATTTATCAGCGGTTTTTGAGTTTTATTTTCAAAGTCGACTCCTACAAGTTGACTATCGACTTTTTTGAACAATAAGAATATTGTTCGATTGATCGTAGGGGATAAAACATACCTAACAAAATATAATTTTGACTTTTGTTTTTACTCTTCGAACTTTTTTAATATTGAATTAATCCGACTTTTTTCGACTCTTCTACATTTCGACTTCTTTGGCATTTATTTGCAGAACAGATTCTTCGATTTTTTTCTAACAAGTTCACTTATCGACTTTGTTAGGACAAAAGTATTGTCTTCCGCCAAAAAGTCGAGTTTTTAATTATTTAAAGTCGATTTATAGAACCCTACCCCAGAGATGAACTTATGTAATGAGGGCTTTTTAAAAACTTTTTGCACGTTTTCCATTTTTTTCTTCATAAACTTCGACTTTGACATTTTTTACAAAAATTTGTAAATTTCGAAGTCGATGAATGTAACAATAGGTCTATAACTTTAGATATTGAATTATTTATGCTTTCACAAAAATAATCATGTCAAAAACCGGTATAATTCCCGAGAATCTTCAGTCTGGCATAACTACTGGCAACACTTAAAAGAAAAACAAAATATTGTGTTTTTTCTTATCAGATATCTTTAACATTTTAAAGAGAACATGTTTATAAGCTCTTAAATTATTTGTTTCTCTTGAGGACAAATAATTATGATAATTTCTTTAGCTGTTAATAAGATGTATTGAAATATAGACACAGATTTTTACTCGCTTTTTACTATTAAAAAAAAATTATAAGCATTTATTCTAATAGTTTTGAAACATTAGGATATATGAAATATAATTACTTTATTTAGTTTTAATAAAAATTTTAAAATAAAAGAGTAAAAATAAATTTCTTAAAAACTTTTCATAACCCCATATAAAATGTTTAAAAATATCTTAGTTTTTCTTGTAGACTTTATCAAATAAAACTTTTAAATAAATTTTAAAACTTTCAATTTTATGTTTATGTTTTATGCTCTAATTTCATAAGTCACTGATAACAATGACGTTATTTAGTTAATATATTTTTATTTTAATTTTAATAGAAAAAATCATCGCCAGACTTAATATTACTAATGGAAAAAGTTCATTCACCTTCACAGAAGAAAAAAAAAAAAAAAAAAATCAAACAAATATTTATCTTGTTTAATATTCGGCTACATTTAGCAAATTAACGCATACAATTAATTAATATTTATTTCAAAACTTTAAACAAAAAGCATTTAAACATTTAAGAAAATAATGTAAAATGTAAAAAAGAAAACAAAGGTTATGAATTTTTAGTAAATTTATTTATTACCAATTTATGAGATGTTTTTTTTTTCTTTAAGTGTACCATAGAAATATTTACACACGACACCATAGCAGCTTTCTTTAAGCTACACAATAAATACAATATATTGTTTTTAATTAAATAAAGTACTTTTAGGGATTACTATTTATTTAGACCTAAATACATTTCTTACAAATACAAATTAAATTTCTTATCAGAATCAATTAAAAATTCGAAATGTTTTCTTAATAAATATAAGGATATACATATAGATTAGTATAGGAAAATCTTTAAAATAATTTTATTTAAATTAAATCTTAGAAAATTAACATAAGGGGATTTTTTTTACAATTGTTAGCTTCAATTTGCATAAAAATAATTTCTATTTTCTATATGAAATGAGTGACTGTATATGTATTTCTGGTCAATAAATTGATCATAATGTCATGATTTATTGTGAATTAAATTGAATTTTCAAAGTACAAAGTCTAAGTCCACAGTTGCAATCAAATTAATAGTAATTGAACTGAAATGTTTTAAATTCACTGGTTAGTGATTTATTTGTATATAAAATTAAATTAGAGATCAGGCCCAAGTTTACGCTTTTTAATCTATAGACTATTTATAGACTATTCCCTAGACTATAGATTAGATTATGGACTATACTATAGACTATACTATAGACTAGACTATATAGACTAGACTATAGACTAGACTATAGACTAGACTATAGACTAGACTATAGACTAGACTATAGACTAGACTATAGACTAGACTATAGACTAGACTATAGACTAGACTACTAGACTAGACTATAGACTAGACTATAGACTAGAACTATAAGACCTAGACATATAGACTAGACTTAGACCTAGACTATAGACTAGACCTATAGACCTAGACTATAGACTAGACTATAGACTAGACTATAGACTAGACTATAGACCCCTAGACTATAGACTAGACTATAGACTAGACTATAGAACTAGACTATAGACTAGACTATAGACTAACTATAGGACTAGACTATAGAATAGACCTATAGACTAGACATAGACTAGACTATGAGACTAGCCTATAGACTAGACCTATAGACTAGACTATAGACTAGACTAGAGACTAGACTAAGAGAACTAGACTATAGACTAGACTATAGACCTAGACTATAGAACTAGACTATAGACTAGACTATAGACTAGACTATGATACTAGACTATGAACTAAGACTAATAGACTAGAATATAGACTAGACTATAGACTAGGACTATAGACTAGACTATAGACTAGAATATAGACTAGACTATAGACTAGACTATAGACTAGACTTAGACTAGACTAGACTAGACTATAGACTAGACTATAGACTAGACTATAGACTAGACTATAGACTAGACTATAGACTAGACTATAACTAGACTATAGACTAGACTATAGACTAGACTATAGACTAGACTATAGACTAGACTATAGACTAGACTATAGACTAGACTATAGACTAGACTATAGACTAGACTATAGACTAGACTATAGACTAGACTATAGACTAGACTATAGACTAGACTATAGACTAGACTATAGACTAGACTATAGACTAGACTATAGACTAGACTATAGACTAGACTATAGACTAGACTATAGACTAGACTATAGACTAGACTATAGACTAGACTATAGACTAGACTATAGACTAGACTATAGACTAGACTATAGACTAGACTATAGACTAGACTATAGACTAGACTATAGACTAGACTATAGACTAGACTATAGACTAGACTATAGACTAGACTATAGACTAGACTATAGACTAGACTATAGACTAGACTATAGACTAGACTATAGACTAGACTATAGACTAGACTATAGACTAGACTATAGACTAGACTATAGACTAGACTATAGACTAGACTATAGACTAGACTATAGACTAGACTATAGACTAGACTATAGACTAGACTATAGACTAGACTATAGACTAGACTATAGACTAGACTATAGACTAGACTATAGACTAGACTATAGACTAGACTATAGACTAGACTATAGACTAGACTATAGACTAGACTATAGACTAGACTATAGACTAGACTATAGACTAGACTATAGACTAGACTATAGACTAGACTATAGACTAGACTATAGACTAGACTATAGACTAGACTATAGACTAGACTATAGACTAGACTATAGACTAGACTATAGACTAGACTATAGACTAGACTATAGACTAGACTATAGACTAGACTATAGACTAGACTATAGACTAGACTATAGACAATAAGACTATAGACTAGACTATAGACAACTATAGACTAGACTATAGACTAGACTATAGACTAGCATAGACTGACTATAGACTAGACTATAGACTAGACTATAGACTAGACTATAGACTAGACTATAGACTAGACTATAGACTAGACTATAGACTAGACTATAGACTAGACTATAGACTAGACTATAGACTAGACAGAGACTAGACGATAGACTAGACTATAGACTAGACTATAGACTAGAACTATAGACTAGACTATAAGACTAGACTATAGACTAGACTATAGACTAGACTATAGACTAGACTAGAGACTAGACTATAGACTAGACTAGAGACTAGACTATAGACTAGACATAGCTAGACTAGACTATAGACTAGACTATAGACTAGACTATAGACTAGACTATAGACTAGACTATAGACTAGACTATAGACTAGACTATAGACTAGACTATAGACTAGACTATAGACTAGACTATAGACTAGACTATAGACTAACATAGACTAGACATAGACTAGGACTATAGACTAGACTATCGATAGACTATAGACTAGACATAGACTAGACTATAGACTAGACTATAGACTAGACATAGATAGACTAGAGACTATAGACTAGGACTATAGACTAGACTATAGACTAGACTATAGACTAGACTATAGACTAGACTACTAGAGACTAGACTATAGACTAGACTATAGACCTAGACTATAGACTTAGGACTAATAGACTAGGACTATAGACTAGACTATAGACTAGACTATAGACTAGACCTATAGACTAGACTATAGACTAGACCTATAGACTAGAACTATAGACTAGACTATAGACAGACTATAGACGAGACTATAGACTAGACGATAGACCTAGACTATAGACTAGACGGGGATAGACTAGACTATAGACCTAGACTATAGACTAGGACTAATAGACTAGAC